AAAAAAAAAAAAAAAAAAAAAAAAAAAAAAAAACCACTCTCACTCATTTGTAGAAGCCAAGATGGTTGATTTTACAGAAGTAGCATAAGAATAGTGGTTCCAAGAGAATAGGAAAGGTACAGGGAAGAAGGCTAATGAGAGATCAGAAAACAGGTACCAAAATATACTTAGAGAGGAAGAATTAATCCTAGTGTAGTATAGCACAGAAGGGTAACTACAGTCTCTACCAATTTATGATCTATTTCAAGATAATTAGAATATATTAAAAGATAATTAAAATTAATAACTAAAAGTGTCCCAATACACAGAAATGATCAGTGTTAGAGGAGATGGACATGTTGATTGCTCTGATCTCTGCTCATTGCGCACTGTGTAAATGTACTCAATTACACAATAGCCCATAAATGGGTACAAATAGTATGTCAATCAGATGGCTTAAAAGAGGAAGAGGGGGAACTTGTTAAAATGTTGCTCCATGGATCCACCTCTAATATCCTAATTCAGTAGGCCCACTATTTTAAGCTTGTGTGTTTTAAGCTAGTGCCACATAGCTAGAATTGAGACACTGGGTGGTTGGTGGAGCTCACCTTCCAGGTGGCTGTAGTTTAGACTCTAGCCAGCTGGGGTGGAGGCTGGCAGGAAACAATGCAGGCATCTAGTTTCCTGGGGGCAAAATGTTCAGAAACCATCTGGTCCGTAGTAAGTGATCAAAAATATTATCTTTCTTTGCTATCTTGTCTTAAAGAAAACACAACAGCTGAGCACAATGAGGGATTGCTTACTTTTTATTTCTCATTTTATTTTCATGTAGATTAACTCATGAGAAAGACTCCCGGATTCTCTCTAGAGGTAGAAAGGACACCTCCTTATTTATTTATTTATTTTTAAATTAGACTTGGTTATTGATAAAAATTCAAATACCAGAGTAGGGAAGCATGGGAGATTTTTTTCTTCCCACGCTACACAACAATGTAAGTCTACTGGTTTCAGATCTAAATTCTAGAAACCCCCATCACCACATTTCCTGTTTGTAACTGAACAAATTACACACAAAAGATCTTAAGAAACAGAAAAGAAATCTGAGGCACTGATAAAGAGCAAGTTTAGAGCCGTGATCCTTCTAATGTAACAGAGCAACATAAGGGGGGGGGGGTGGCTGCGGGAGCATTTTTAATCAATCCACTTGCTTTATGACTGCGTAAGAAGTTTTCTGGGGGGGAAAGCATGCCAGGTAAGTGGTACTTTTAATTCGTTTGCTTTACTTTATAAGCTAAAAATTCACCTAACAATTTCCAAGTTATACCTAAATGGCACTTAATGTTTGAAATGTAAATGAGGTTGCATCATTAATTTTTAAGTGTGCAGTACGCTTCAGTATAATTAGTATTTTGAAATTCATTAATGGGCACAAATTGACAATTTTCTCTTCAAAGGGAAAAAGTATTTTGTAACATAAAGCTGGTTGCAGCTGTTCAGTAAGTGTTCACTCTACCTATGCCATGCAAAGAACTTGTTACTTTAAAGGAAGCTTTTGTTGATCACGCTTAGCCCTCTTTAGTTTGCTTTATATGTGAAATAGGATAGGAGTAAACATGTTCTAACTCTGAAATTTAAGAGAGTGTCTTCTCAGCAATCAATCCAACTGTAACATTCAGAGAGATGACAGTTTTGAAAAGTTCAGTGAAAATGCAATTGCTTGTGCCATGGATCTGGAGGTTAGGGCCACGTCGATTTGTTGTGATGAGCCCCCACTGATAGTTCAGTCCTCTTGCATTGTTCATGTACTTTGCTCTCATTAACAAACATCTTTTGGTGTGAGAAAAAAACTTATGTAAAGTAGAAAAACTGTGAAATAGACATAAAAGGAAAAAATCTTACATGTTTCCTATCACCTTGAAAACACAAATATTGTTTTATTTCCTTCCAATTGTTATTTCTGTATATTCTATGTAGATTTATTTATTTATTTATTTATTTATTTATTTATTTATTTATTTTTGGCGGAACCAAGGATTGAACTCAGACCTTTGCACTTGCCAGGCAACCGCTTATTCTACTGAGCCATCTTCCCAGCCCTGTAGTCTTATTTTGATAAGAGTATTAATTTGTATTTTAGCTATCGGCTTTTCTCACTTATATGATAAAGTTGCTATTTTCCTTTTATTATAATTTCAGTCTAATCATTTTAAACAAATGCACAAATGGAACCAGTTGTATTAATTATTGTTTACTTAATCACTTTTATAGTTAGACATTGACATTGTAGTCTGCTTTTAAATGTCTTAATGAAAGAAAAATGAATGATTCTATAGCCTTTTCTGTAGGTAATTAGGAAAGATATTTAGAATTAGAGTTACGGAGTGAGAGATTATGAACACTTCAGCCTCCTTATTGCCAAATTGCTGTTCCAAGGGTGATGCCAATTTACACTCATTGTAGCAATGCTTTCCTTTAACAGACAAGTTTCATTGGAATTTTTTTCTAAATATAGCATGCTAGCCCCTTGTTTAATATCTATTACTTTGATGGTAATGAGGTTAAACATGGAGCATTTTGCTTGTGTTTATAAAGTGTTTATAATTCTATCATTAGTGAATTGTCTTTTTTTTCTATTATTCTGCTCAAAGAACTTTTAATATCAATTCATATGCAGGCATTTGCAGATTGAAGATGTCATCTATTTGAAGGATCTTAAGATAAGTAGATGAATCATACATGAACATCTACCACCATACAACTTTCATGTATCTCTTTTGCTTTTCTAGTTTAGATGAGCAAAGAATCAAAAGAATTGTCCCAGTTTGGCTAGCGTGCTGCGAGGATTGGACATACTGGTACCACATACAGTTGCCTTGAGTGGATGAGGACAGGGAACTTGGGACACGTGAGAAGGTTAATGGCAGTAAACTATGGCATTCAATTAGCTCTACAACCGATTAATCCTGAATTTAGAAGAAATATGATAAATATCTCCAATATTCGCACCTCAGATTTTCCTGTCAAATGTAGCATAGGAGCACCTCCACTGCCGCTTCCGAACGTTCACAGTTCTACAGAAATGATAGAAATACACTGCTCCTCTGTAAAACTTAGATCTTAAATGTCCAAACAGAAAACCAAGATATTATAACAACCAGATAGCAATACTTATCTTTTTTTTTTCCTGGAACCGGGGATTGAACTCAGAATGTTGTGCTTGCCAGGGAAGCATTTATTCTACTCAGCCATCTACCTGGCCTCTTATCACATTTAGATAGGTGAAGCAAAGGCAATAAAGTTGAAAACACACAAAAGCACAATTATTTGGTTAAGAAAGAAAAGTATTAAGTGAAAGGAACAAATCTTTCTTTCTACCTAGAACCATGTAGTTATCCGTAAAGTGTTGGCATCATAACTGCTGTGTACTTTCTACATTCATCAAAAAACACTAGTCTCACTACTATTATGGACTACTGGACTATATTGCATTACTTTGCAGAATTCACACATCTACAATATTTGAATGGCAATGGAATACCCATCTCTGACAAAAGTGAACTAAAAAGGGGGATATAAATGAAGGACCATACTGTAGTGAATATATATATATATATATATATATATATATATATATATTAGGTAGAATAGATATACAGCTACTTTCTCTTAGTTCAATGAGAAGAAGATTTGTGCTAATAGTGTTTAGACAAGATATCATATCTGTATCTTGTACTCTGAGTAACTACTACGAAGACAACAACATGTAATGTATTATTGTAACTATCCTACTAACCTGTTTTGAAAGTGTCTCAATGCTATTTCATTCTCGATAAAATTAACATAAAAAACATTAGTTAAATCAAAGGGTGAAAACAATTCCTTTGGGTTATTGTTAATTTAATTTTAAACAAATATTCATAGTTCAATCCATAATTCATAATGCATTGTTTTAAAAATAGTTTTCTCAATTTGTCTACTAAGTTTTATCTTCAAATGGGCCCCAATCATCCTTCTGAGTAGAATGAAACCCTTTCTTTTAAAGACTAGGTAGAACTAATTTGTGAATCATCTTTTAAACTCAGACATTCTAAAAGATGAGTCATGGACAATATTGCATCATAGGATCTAAGTAATATTTGGTGGTGATTTTAAGAAAAGTTAATACAGGGGCTGAGATATAGCTCAGTGGTATAAGTGCATGCCCTGCAAGCACAAGGTCTCCAGTTTGATCCCTGCCACCACCAAAAATTAAAAAAAAAGAAAAGTTAATACAGAAACTGTTGTCACTTGAAGGTCATAATTCTCAGGAGGGCAGGCCCACAAATTGCTAGTAGATAGTAGATCTCATTATTGGACCACTGTCAGACATTGTAAAATTTTATCTAATTATTGCAACATTCCTCAATTAAAAAAATGAAGAGAAAAATTAAAAGGGTTTCTTGAAACATTAAAATTCACATAGTATTTTGTGGAATGAAATTCTCACACTACCACACTGGCTGCTGAGTCCTCCCAAGATGCTTTTCTAATAAGAAAGTTAAGCACATGTATGCTTAAAACAGAGCAATGAAATCCAGCTAAAGAGAGGTTTGAGTACAGCAGGGATTTGGGCAGCTCTTTAATCCCTAGAAGATTTCTGAAGTTTAGAAAAAATCTAGACTGAAGAAATCTAAAATTTTCTCTTTAAGTGTAGCCTCCCTCCCACTCCCATGTTTGGACTTTTAAAAAGTTATATATGGTAAGTGTTGATTTAGAAGCCTCATAATGTGTTATAAGAGGTGACTTTGATGTTATGCAGGTGATGACAGGAACTCAGGTTTTACAGTTACTTAGTGAAGTTCAGCAATTTGCACACAACCAGTCGCAAAACTAGTAAGTGACCACTCTTGGTCTCTTACTCATATTGTTTGAAAAATAGGCATTCCAAAGCTGGCGCTGGTGTTTCCCTGCTCCCCATCACAGCCTACGCTGAGCTGTACACTATAGCCCTCTGTTTGTAGTGTATGTTCATCTAAGGTTGGTGGGTTTCAGGTTTTACATTAGAATGGGATGTTATTTACTTGAAAGCCTAGAATTGATTTGAAAGCCCTCGCTTGTGCTGACATCTGTGACCCTAGTGACTTTCACTGATGGAGATGATGCAGCCGGATCGTAGAAGCTGGAAGTGGGCATAGTGACGTTTTTGTCCCCCACATGCTCCAAATTAGTAGAATGTACATTTTTCAGCATCAAACCATTATCATGTTAAGAAAAGCTCATTTTATAAGGAGAAAGAACCATGGGAACTATAATGTCAATAATTTTCTTTAAAATTTCTGGGTGCCTAAAATAAATATAGCATTGTGGAATACAAAGAGATGTTCACTGCTCTGATAGGGTTTATAAACCAAAGGAATCCATTAAGAGAAACTATGCACTAAACACTATATTCTATACTCTCATATGTGTAGTTTAAGAATGGTCTGAAATAGGGACAACAAAGCATTATATTTATGCTTTTTATTAATTGTTTAAATAAAATTTGTATAAATAAAACTGCCAATAGAAAGACATTACATTTGCTTAGCTAGGTTTCATTCCAGAACATGTACAATTGTGAATTTCAAATATAATGCCTGCCAATTACTGCTGGCCTTAAGAGAGCAAGAGGTCTTATAATTAAACTTATTCTGATTAGCCCCTGGCAGTTGAAAACAGGATAGAAGCTAAAATCATGATTTTTCTAGCTGTCATTTCCCTATTAATAATTTTTCAAGACCTTTGGCTTTTAAATAGCATAAATAGCTAAATTAAAATTATGTGGGAGTTCATTTTGAATTGATAAAAGCTATATAAATGAAAGTAATTATAATTAATGAGTAAAGATACTGAAGATTGCTTCTGTTGGGCAAGAATTTTTAAGTACTGTCTGCATCCAGTATTATAGGAAGAGCTGTTTACATTAGGTAGACACCCACAGCACTCAAGAGGCCTTCACCTGTGCCCAGAGAGTTTCTAGGTGAAGGGAGATGCTAAATTTTTGTCTGAATACATGTTTGTGTCCAACAGAAAAATCATCTGTTGAAAAATTACACTAAAATTTACTCTTCTCCTGTGTTTTGTTTTGTTTTTCATAGTGGAAGCATTTATTGTTGGCAATCAAAAGAGTGTGAAGGATATCAGGAAAGTCATGAAAAACAAGGCTTCTAAATGAAAATCCTACTATTTATAACTCAGTTTACACTACCAAAGAGAAAAAATGTTGGAAAGCAT